GACAACAGTTAGACCCCAATGACAGAATCCCATTTTATTTATCCACCTAATGGCAGTTACACAACTATCGAAGTGCTGCTTTTGGCACTTAAACACAATTTTGAATTCTATTTTGTGTTCAGGTACAATAAAATCATCCTGAACAGAAACCTGCCAGAAACAAGGAAGAAGAAGAAGAAGAGGTGGAGGAGAAGGAGGAGGGCCCATACATGTTTTAACTCAACAGCCAAGAAGTAAGGGCATTCAGTCAAGGAAGTGGGAGACCCTCTTCACCCAGAAGAGATTTCAACTGGTATTACCTGCTTTCCAGTAGAGTACCCTAGCCACCAAACCCCAGGTCAGGCCCCTTCTGCATCCCTCTCCTAGAAGCTGAGCCATTGCACTTTGCATTTAATAGCCACTGAATAAAATGGATGGAGAGTTGTGCAGCATAAAAGTTTCCACCTTACCAGGAGCAAGGACCTATGATAGAACCAAGGGCTCCATCCTTGGTTAGCAGCTCTCTCTACATCACACAACTTTGCTTCTGGCCCTGAATATCTCCCTTTCTTGGCTTCCTAGAGAGACAGCTTCAAGGGGAGCAATGGAGGGGGTGCTCAGGGTACTTAATTTTCAGGGATTTATGCATCTTTATATACCATGTATGGTGCCACATATCTGTCTGGCCAGAGTGTAACCCTACTGAGCATGTTCAGTAGCATGCTTGCACTTCCCCACTATATCCACAACAGTTTACATACCACAATCCAAAATTCAACAGAAACCAAAATTCCCACAGACGCCCCCAAAATCACATACTTTGCTGAGTAGTTGCTATTTAGGCAGGTAAAGTGAAACAGGCTTTAGACCCAAGAGCCTACATTTCAATATAGCTGTCACCTCTCTTAGAAAGCTGACAATTCTTTCATAGTGATATAGCATATATTAAACTATGGATTCTGATACTTTTGTCATGCCTCAGATATTGCTCAAGTTTTAGAAATTCATGTAACATTTAGTAAATTCTTACCTTGAGAGATTTTGTAAAGACCAACAGCTATGATTACAATAAGGGCCAGAATTTTTGCGTATGTGAAAAGATCCTGTACTCTGGTTCCCCATTTCACATTGACACAGTTAATAAATGTTATTGAACCTATTGAGAAAACAAATACAGACAAGATGATTGCTGTGAGTTATGCACCACATACATTGTCTTTCAATAAATCATCTGCAGACAAGACATCTACATTTCAGAATTATCTGAACTCATCAAAAGCTGTTTCATGAAAGATGAAACGTTTATGGGTCGGGTGCAGGTGAAAAAAAAGTAACACTCTCTAACCTAGCAGGGCGCTGGCCTGGGGCATAGGTGATGTGGTCTGAAAAATTGTGCTCTTTATCATGCCGAGCTGGAACTTTTCCATCCCAGGTCAACGTTCTAAACATGAGACTACCCATACACTCCCCATCCAGCCTACAGTACCATCCTCTTTAGGGCAGATATAGAATGAAATCAAATGCTGAGGCCATGAAAGCTGCCAAAAAACAAAGCTGCAATCCTCCACTCAGCTCTACTACTCAGTGCCTAGAAATTTCTGATGGAAAGAGATAAATGCACACCCTTCATTGGGAAGCCTGTCCTATTGCCATGTGTTAGTCATTCCAGCTCTCCCAGACCAGACAATCCTCCCTCCAGTCTGAGCTCAGCATGGCAGACAGCCTGCGCTCTGGAGGAAAGGTCTGGAAAGGAGACAGAGATGAAAGAGCTGCTGTTTATGAGGGGAGCATGTGGATGAACTTTCCCTATGCTATCCTCTCCAGCACTAAATTTATTTTTAAATGATTCAAGCAATGAGGATACCCTGAGGGGGTTTTCTGAATCTCTTTTGAAGCACACAGGTCTCCCCATTCACCGTAATGAAGCTCACATGGCCAACTATGTGCTCTGGACTCCATTCAGAGGACCAGGCGCAAAAAAGTTAAACACTGTTCACCTCACTTAGAGGTGCCTGAGTCCATTATTGAGTCAAGCCCCATTAAGTGTGCAGAAGGGAGCGGCTGCTCTATCCCGAGGGGTGAATAACCTTATTCTCTGCCCTGGTCATGGAACAATGAAACACATTTGAACTATGTCCTAGTTTTTCAGGATTTTATCTTGTGTATAATCCATACCCCATTTTAGTTTCAAAATGGAAAGAAAACTACTACAATCTAAACTGCATTTCACTTTAGGAAGTATAATAAAGCTAGCATCTATTTGTTAGATCCCATTTATACAAACATTTACACAGTGGCTGCAGTTCATGCTCTGAAGCAGACCCCTTTAATTTAACTGTGCTTTCTGGCAGTATAGTGAAACATGCACATGAATGCTTGAGGATTGAGGCCAGATTCACTACTGCTTTTCACGCTGGAATTACACACTAGCAAGTGATTGGAATAATGAGGCAATGGCTCCAGATTTTGGTCTACAAACATATTAGCTCTTACAATGAATTGCTCCAAGACAAATATCAGATTAGGACATAATCTTAAACATCTTTGCTATTTAAATGATTGCTATAAATCCTGACTTAACAAATGTGGAATGTACAGTAAAGTAGTATTTCATTTCCTAGAAGCTGGTAATTTATAGTATTCCTGATTTTTAAGGGTAGGGGTATAAAGTAAAAACCACTATATATATATACTAGGTTGGTCATTAAATATTTATTTTATATCGTACACTTTGAAGTCTAACATGTACCTTTAGGCAATCAGTCATGATGAATTATCAATTGTAAGAATGAGGTTTTAAACCCTACAAAGCACAACTACGTGTAGTGCTTGAGCTGTTAAGTATTCTTAAAGTCAATATAATAAGATTTTGGCATGAATTTCCCAGTAAATTGCATTCAATATTTGCCCCTCAGTTCCAAACAAGCTCTCTTTGCTGAAGTGGCTCAATGCCAATTATATCAATTGGATCATTATTTCTGCTAACATTTTTTAGCACTTACAGAGTTGGAATATTTGTGACTACTAAATCATCATCATAATAAGCTATTCATCATTACACACAATAAACTCGGCCAGCTGTGCCAATTATAAACTTGGTTTGTGGTGAAGCAGATCATTTATTGCATGGAACAGTGCCTACCAGCTGCCAGCAGCTCAGGGAAAACTAGCTTACAGCAAACAAAATATCACAGACCTAGCAACTGCGCTCCATAAGGAATACAGCAAAAATGCCCAAGACAAAATTCAAAAGGTACTCTTGAAGAAGCTTCTGTATGTGAACATGACTCTTCCCCCTCCCCCGCCTCGAAATAAGTAGTTCATGGGACAACATTAAGTCAGCTGGGGAGAGAAATTTTCATGTAATACTGTATTTACCTGAACTCAAGATGACTTGGATTTCCATGTTAAGAATCTAATTATTGGAGGGTCATCTTAAATTCATCCCCACCGCAGCTACAGGGTGGAAAGCAGTGGCAGGGGGCAAACAGTGGGGAAAGCAGTGGCAGGGGCCAAACAGTGGGGAAAGCAGTGGCAGGGGGGCAGGCAGCCTGCCCCCTGTTCCCTTGTTTGAGGTCTTGCAACTTGACCCCTGCAGTGCCTGCCACCTATCCTCTTTACAACTCACCTCCCCCACCACTTACCCCTCCCAGTGCCTGCCCCCCATAGAGCCTGCCCCCCTTGCCACTTGCCACCCTACGGTTTACCTTATACAGTAGCTCTGGCTCCAGCTCCAGCCTGAACCATGGAGCACATGGTAGCTCTGACCCTGGCTGGGCAGCAGTGGCAGTGATAGCTCCAGCTGTGGCCCAGGCCTTGGGTCGAGTCAGAGCTGGACCTGGAGCTGGAGCCACAGCAGTTCCTGTGCTACAGTGCAGTCTTCCTGGGCTCCCTCCACTCCATGCTTCATTGCTGCAGTTGGAGCTGGAGTTGCAGCAGCCACTTGCCTTGGCCGTACTTGAATCCAAGATGAATTTCTTTTCCCCATGTTGTGGGGGGAAACTTGTCTTGGATTTGAGTTTAATATATCCTATGGCCTCATTCAGACAAGATGTAATCTAATCTGTACATCAGTTAATCAAGTATATTTGAATGTAACTGGATAATTTACAAGTTCTTAATGTTAAAGACTATTGATGAGCTCAGTTTAAATTCATGGCTTCTGTTGTTCAGAAGTGAACTTCTTGTCTACCTCAGTAGGGTGAATGGGAAATATAAATAATATTTATATAAAAAGCATAGAAGAGATTCTTGCAGAATCCCCAGTATATAATCACATGAAAATACTACTCCTGTTAATTTACTAGGTGGCATTTGATAATTCTTTTTGTTTTGCCTCATGGATTAGTAGCCACAGAATCACAGGAAAATAGGTCTTGAAGGGAATTCAAATAGCCACCTAGTTTAACACCCTGCTTGAGGCAAGATCTTTCTTGTCTACATGTTCCAGGTCAAATCTTTGTGTAACCTGCACCTAATGTCTTCCAGTAACAGAATTCACCATATCTATAGTTTTTTTCCATTCCAGTCCTTAACTGCACACATAGTTAGAAAGCTCTTTTTAATGTCTGTGTTAATTCTCCTTGGTTGCAATTCAAGCCTATTATAGTTTGCACTCTTCCCTGTAGATGTATAAAAATGTATCACCATATTCTTTAGAAGGACCTTTTCATTTGAAGACTCTTAATAAATCCCTCCTTTCTCTCTTCTCCACTAAATAATCCCAGTTCAGCTCTTCCAACTTTTTCTTCCACCTTTCTAGACCTCTAATATATATATATTTTAACTCTCATGTGGTCTCAGTGTTTCCACATCTTTCTTGAAGTGTAGTGTCCCAAACTGGACACAATTCTGCAGCTGCATATCCCTAGAGTAGAACACACATAGCTAATCTTGACGAATAAATGTGAACTAAGGACAAATCTAAAGTATAAAATCAATAACAAACATAAAGTTCATAGTTGGACACTTTCCAGTTTTCTGGGCTCAATATTTTGCTTGCATAGTTTTTATTTCTATTTTATTTTTACATTTAATTCTTTCTTTCTTTTTTTAAGGAGAGCAAAGGGAAGGAATCAAAGTGCAATGCTTTGTTCATTTCCACTCCAAGTTCTGACAAGCAGTTGCTGATTTATTTGTGAATATTTGGATATTTGAGATCTCAGTAGAAGGCCATTGAAATCATTAGGAGTTTTTCCATTGGCTTCAATGGGTTTTGGATCAGGCCTGTGATCCACACTAAAACAAGGTGGCCTCTTAGCAATTGTAGTTTCTCTCCATCAAAATATTGTACACCTCTACTCCCAAAGCAATATTATCCCCAAAGCAAAAGAATAACCTCTTGTAAATTCACCCTTTGTAGAAATCTATTATATTTACAGAAAGGATTGGGAAGTAAACATCTGAAAAACTTTCATGATCACCTGTAATTCAATTATTCTTAGGAATCACAACTTTACTTACAGATACAAGCAGCTGCGATCAACCTGACTGCGTCATATGGTGGTTCACAGGATGGAAATACTGGTTGGACTATGTAATTAGCAAATGTAATTGCTATTACTGCCTGTGTTGTTGGTTCAATAATTAGCAGGGAAGACCACAGTCTGATAAAGGCTATAAAAGCACCAAAAGCCTCCAGTATATAGGCAAAACTAGCCCCTGACTTCACAATGGATGTTCCCAATTCAGCATAACATAAAGCTCCAAACAATGAAAAGATCCCACCAATAGCCCAAAGGACTAGTGAGAGTCCATAGGAGCCACTGTACATTAGAACGCCTTTGGGTGAAACAAAGATTCCAGAGCCAATCATGTTCCCTACTATCAAAGAGACACCATTCAGCAAAGTAATTTCTTGCTTCATCTTCATTTTTCCTTCCACGTTTTCCACCACATTGTCCATTTCAGGCATTCCATTCTTGGAGGTGGTCTTTTTATTGCAGCATACAGTCCAGCGGCCTGTCATTTTCACTTATCATTACCTGAAGAGAACAGGACAGTGATCATTTTTGTAGTGCATATTGCAAAAGGAAGGAAATATACATGATGAATCAAATGCTTCTCTAAATTCATGGCAAATAGGTGTTGGCAGCACAAAATCCTTCATTGTGATTGGTACTTATTGGTAGCAAGGAATGAATGGACATATAAACTGAATTACTCTCTCACCCCTTTTGTCTTCTTTGCCAGGATATAGCACACTGGGAAGGAAAAAGTCCTGTCCATTTTGTAATTAATGGATGATTATGTGAGTTTATTGTCTCCTACTATGCATCTTGAACCTTTCATGCACTCTGAGGTTACCTCTTATTAAATATTTTATACAGTCTATAAACCTACATTAAGTGTAACATCCATAATATCAGAATGAAGGAAGAAATACCAGACTGTCAAGAAAAAACAACATGTTTTAATATAGCTAAAGTATCACAGATACCTTTTAGCTTACACCACTCCATAAAAACTTTGTTTAGCTTCCCTACCTCTCTCAAAACATACCTGTCTACAACCCACAGTAGAGAACAGGATAGAAAAGACACAGATGGATTAGAAGTGTTACAAATCTAGATAGTGCTATTACAAAGGTAATAAAGCAGAAAGGGAGGTCACTGAAGGGAGAAGTAAGAGGAGTAGTGAGAGAGGGAAAAGGAAGATGAACTGAAAACTGAGCTGAAGGGGGTAGTTAATTCAGGTTAATTCAGGGATTTGAAAAGGAGTTTGAGGATGTTAAAGATTTTAGCTGTTCTTAGAAGTGAGGTCCCTGTAGCAATGAATAACACATCCTGTTTAGCTATTAATCTTGCAATCCTTCTGCATAAGAGACACTAACATGTGCATGGACTGCATTTTGAACAGCGTGTTCCTGGAACACTTTATGTGGCAAAGTCCAAAAAGACACATGTTTGTAAAGAGCTTCTACGTCACATATTAGTTGCCTTCCACCCTCCCACCACTCTACCCGTGGCCAGTGCTTTCTCTCTATCCCGGAACATCCTGAGTCTTGGACTTAGAAATTTGGAAAAATGTAAACACTGTCCAATGCTATAATTTCTGGATGCCTCAAGTGACAGAATATAACACTACTAACATCATCTTCAAGAGCCATTGGCTCTCTATTAGAGTTTGCCAACAGCTGAACAAACTGCATCAAATTTAAAATGACCAAGGGAAATATAAATGCAGCACAACAAATCTTGATGGGCATTAAATTGTATCTATACAATAGTTAGCATAACTGGGGCACAATGCTATTTGAGGCTTCTAAGGTGATTCTGTACTAATAATTTTTCTGTGGCACTTAGGAAAATTTAGGCTGAAGCTGCACTGTGATAAACACCGTGCTAGCAGATGGTTGCTACACCCAAATCCTTATAATTCTAATATAAACTGATTTATCCTAATGTTGGTGAATGGCACTGGCACTGATTGTTACCTAACTGTGACAATTATATAAAAACAGACACTACCATCATTGTGGCATCTGGGCAGATTAAATTGTTCATGACAGAAAGAACACTCACTTAGTGTGTATATTATGTACAACAGTCTTCCCAATATTCATAAAATATTATTAAGATTCAAAATTAAGCATATATTTCAGGAAATTCCAGAATCAAAGTTGTGAACTGGTTGTTTTGGGAATTTAACTGGAAAGTGCTTACTAATTTCTACTGAGAATTTTGAAGGCTTGGAAATTGATCAAATTTGGTGAGGTTTTCATAGATAAGTCACACACTTCCTAGCTTAGTTTAATACAGTATATCCTCATAAATCTGGCATGCTTGGGACTGAGCATCTTCCAGAAATTTAAAAATTCCAGATTTTTTAAACCAGAGGGGCAGCTGGTCATGGAGCAGCAGCTGCACGCAGAACAGCGCTACAGGGTGGTGGCTGGTGATGACAGCCACTGCATGCAAGCTTCCCTTTCTGCTGCTCTGGGACTGGCCACTGCTACTCCCCAATGTAGTGTATTTTCACAAAGTGCTGAATTTTCGAGCATTCAGGATATTTGATATCCGGATTTATGAGGTCATACTGTATTCAGCTGAATTTCAAGTTCCTGATCTAGTTCACCTGGCACTACAGCTTCTCAAAGTTTTTTAATATAGACCTATTATGGGTTTTTTTCAATTTTTAAAAAAAGAAAAAAAACCCTTACTTCAGGTCTGAAAGATTAAATATTTTAGCCCAAATAATTAAAACTTGGTGATGGCTAAGACCCAGCTTTCAGAGGCTGATCAATGAGAAAAATCTGCGATACTTTAGTATGCTATGAGCCCTACCTAGAGCAACTCAGTTATAGTTATGGACTAAGCCAGGGGCAGGTAATTATTTGGGCCCATGGGCCACATAGACAGTTCTGGGGATCTGTCGCAGGCCAGTTATCACCCCCCACCAACAGCCCAGAGCCCATGCACCCTGCGGCTCTTCCCTGCCACTGTAACCAGCACTCAACAGCAGCTGAGTGCACAGCAACACCCCCAACCCTGGCCCACCCTGCGCGCAGTCCAGACTTACACCGGCTGGAACGGATGAGCTCTGGACCAGCTGGAACCTGTGTGCGCAGCCTTAACCTCAGCCTGCTCTGTGCCTTCTTCAGACCACATGCCCTTGCTGAGCAGCAGCAGTGGCAGCTGGGCAGAAGCTGTTGCTAGATGCAGGGGAAAAGTGTCCACCACTTGCTGCTGCTGGGTCCTTCTTGCTGCAGCTGCCTGGAGCCCACATGTGGGCTGCCCTGCAGCTCTCCTTCGCCACCATCACCGCTGCCTCTGGGCTGCCCAGCAGGGCAGCAGTGGCAGTGGAGGGGAGCCACAGAGTAGCCTGGGTGTGGCTCTGGGTGGCTGCAGCAAGAAGGGCCCGGCAGTGGTGAGGGGGAGGCGGCTGCTTTTCCTAGCAGCAGCTTCTGCCCAGCCATCACTGCCATCACCACTGCTAGGCACGGGTGGGTGGCCTGTAACAAGTGTGGGGTGAACCGGAGTCAGGGCTGTGCATGTGGGTTCCCACCAGTACCGTAGGGCTGGGGCCAGCAGTGGCAGCAGCCGGAAGGAGCTGCTGCCACCTGGGCTGCCTAGAAATGCAGTTCAGCTGCAGAGCTTACCCAATGCGATGCACCACAGGCTGGACAGTACCTGTGTCAGGTGGTACTGAGGGGCTGAGGGGCCTAGGGCGGGCTGGACAAAGTCCATCCATGGGCCAGATCTGGCCCATGGACCGTATTTTGCCCACCCCTGGACTAAGCAGATGTTTGACAAAAAGGCAGATGTTTGAGGCAACAACGGTGCCTGGGTTTAAAACATCTTTTCAATAGTTCTCAAAACTACCTGCATGGGGATAGATGCAGGGAGTGCCTCAGCTATCAAAACCGTTCACAGGGAAAGCAGCAATATAGAATTTAAAGGGATTTATAATACTAGAACCAGGAGTTTAAACTGCATCATGCAGCAGATAAGAAGCCAGTGGTGTTTCCCCAAGACAGAGGTCACTTGCTGAAATTCATGCATTAGTTTAATGCATACAGGCACTAGTATTCTGCTCTAAAGCTTAGGAGTACTCTTTCAAACTAGCCACACTGCAGAAGTTCAGCTTTAAGGCTCAAAGCTGTATGTGCAGATACAGAAGGACCCAGATAATTCATAACCAGGTGGCTCTACAATCCACTTAATTAGCACCAACATACCCCAAATGGGTCCAGCTTTTGCTTCAAAAGAGGCTGCTCCTCTGATCAGCTGGAGCTCATCAGTGGTT